ATTAATATTTCTTTGCTGAAATTTCTGAATATTTAGTGTCCTTCCAATCTAAGCACCCTCCCCCCTCCTCTTCGTGAAGCATCACAGATTTGAAAAAGGAGGGGTGCTTAGAATTGAGTGAATAAGCGCTCTGTCGATTGACACGACTGAGCGGGCAGCACTGTCAAAACTTAACGTAGAATAAAACTTACATTCCGTTCGCTCTAGATTTGTTGTGGACATACACAACAAAAATAGCTTACAGCTGTTTGTTTTTCATTTCATAAGGGAGAACAAACAAAGAAATGACGTCCAAGCCAGCGTGGTCCGAAAACACAATTCACCGAAATGAGATTGACATGAGAGGCTCAAGTCCACGACTGCAATGGTGAATAAACAAGGCACAAACCAAAATGGTAACAACAATGATGATGATAATGACGCGCAGCTAGAGAAAAAAAAAAAAAAAGCTGTACGGCGTCACCTAGCAGCAGGACTTAGCAGTACTCAAGTAGCACTGCCAAACCAAGCCAATCCATGTGCAGCCAACATAGAATTCAAAATGGCCACTCCTCGGTGGTATATTCCACTGATCGCTCGCGACGATTTTGTCCAAAAAATTAAACTTTCGGAGTTCAAGCTGTCCGAAACATCGGTCGTGAATATGCACTATTTCTATTGCGTAAGTCACAGTTCCTCCTTTAAGTCCGAAATATCCAATGAGTCCGAATTATCAGCGTCCGAAAAATCAGTCGGCGACTGTATATACAGATATACAAGAAAAATAGAAAAATATACAGATGCCGTAACTTGTCCAGAAACACATCGGAAGCTTTGCAACAGTGCTTGCAAATAGTCAATCACACTTGATCGGTTTCAATGGGATCAATACGTAAAGAGTTAAAACAAACATTTGATCGAACAAACCTTGGTATTGAGCGTCGTGGCAGCATTTTTACTGGAGCGTAACGAGAGAGCGATTTCAATTAGCCAAGCATTTTTGCAAGGCATCAGCAGTGCCTCCTTTAGTTACTTCACGCATTGCATAAGGCCATAGTTGCCGTTGCCACATTCCTGTTTGTCGAGGAGCAATTAGAGGATATTTTGCATCTCGGTTGTCGTGGCTATCTTGAGGTTCTCGTCTGACGCCTCTTTGGATTCACCACGGCCACACACAAGGTCTACGATCTTGGCATCCAAGGCGGAAGCAACAATGCAAATGTCCGCACCTGCAGGCACAAACGAACCCAAGTCCTCCTCGGGTGCTTCAAAAACGATTTTGTACACACTTCTGTATGGATTGTTGAAGCTCTAAAAATCATCTGCAGGCTTGATGAAGATGCACGAGAGAGAAAATCAAATGCGCAAAAAACTAAACCAAGTCCATGTCCACAGAACATGAGCAGGATGCAGATGAATGTCCACACAACATGAGCGTGCATAAGAGATTCAAAGAGATGGTCTAATTTTCTTCCCTGAACCAATTCTGATGGAAGCGTCGGGGGTTTCTCACGTCTCTCAGGTAAGTTGGGCTGTGGGCGTTGTGCGTGGCCTTGGAAGGTAAATGTTGCTCCTTGGCCGCGTTAGAGTGAGTCGCGTCGCCGCATCAGTGGGAAAAGCGCCCATGCGTCTTCATCGCTCCATTTACCACTCCACATGTTAGGGAGGGAATGATCAGGTCACCCTCTGCGTAGGTGTGCGTGCTTCGGGCAAATCGTCTTTCGTAATAAGCGTGGTCGGCCGCTGATGCACTTAGAATAAGATGGTTCAAGATGCACGAATTTCGGTCAAAACTGCATTAAGCTGAGAAAAGAGTGAGTTCATTAGTTATACATATTTATTTTATGTGCAGAGCAGGTGTTCACTGAGGCCACCAGAACCTCTTAACTTGATTTTGATGTACTATCGTGGACACTGTTAGCTATAACACCGCAGCGGCGGCCGTCCCTAGAGTAACTGTATAGGCTCTGCTTGCAGAGCCAGAGTATCGCGTTCCTTTTCCTTTCGCCGCCATCTCCGTATTGGCGGAGGAGTGCTCACGTGGGCAGAACTTAATCCGACCTTCTTGCGGGAAAGAGGCCTTCCAGAGCGCCGAGTTTCGGGGAACATATTTTCCGCTTTGAGTTCGCAAAATATAGATCCTAGACTAAACTTGAACGAACCGAAAACTTCCTAGGCCATTGAACATTATGTGCGTCAACTGGGTACAATACAATACTGATTTTTTATAACGCGAGCAATGTTTTAGGAGATCCGTTTCCAAGGTATGGGAAGCAGACGACACGGACGACGATCGCGTTGCTCGCGTCCAACGTTGCTCGCGTCTGCGGCGTCTGCGGGTCTCGCGGAGTGATACACGACTAGCACATCCGGCCATCTTGGCGAGTCGGCGAGCTCTCGTCCGAAAGCGAGGGGACGGCGTTTTCGTGAGCCGGTGCGTCGTTTACCGCAATGAATTGACGACTTCGCTTCACACGCGACCCGCAGGATCCGCGGGTGCGATTTTTGCAATTGAGAGGGAAACAGGAAACGACGGGAGAACGATTACGACTCATGCGCGGCTCGTCGCCGCACTATTTTCCTTACGCAGCGCGCCGCAGCACGCCACCTCGCGTCTGCGCCTTCGCATCCCCTGCAAAAACCGACCGTGGCTTCCCGCAGTGCTTGGCTCCAGAATGGCACCATTGCGGTACTCTGCTCCGCAAGCGGAGCATATACAGTTACTCTAGCCGTCCCGTACCCCCAGCGCCTCACAGCAGGCGCCGTCCGAAACTCCGCGCATGCGCCGTGTGGCGGACTCGCTCCTCCCGTTTGCGAGCACACCCTCGCTTTGTCGTCTGCTAGGCGCAGAGCAGGCGATGCCACAGTGCTGCTCGTCTGGTACCCTGGCCCTAGCGAACTGGTCTCAAACTCATTTTAAACCGGCGATTTTGATTGGGGGAGATTGCAGAGTCATTAAGGCATTAACCCTTTCAACATTGTTTTTTTTTTTTTTTTTTTTTCTTTTTTAGAAACAGGATTTTGCAATGCATCTTTCACAATATGCGTTCGCAAACCAGTATGAGCGCAGCAGGTGTGATACAGAAATAGACTTATACTCCGTTTCACCTTAAGTCCGAATGCAGCGTACGCTACAAAACGACATAGCCAATCAAATAACGGCAAAGGTGCAATGTCACGGAGTGCATCACCAGGGGACACAATAAGGTGCAAAAAGTGCGCTTTTGTCGCTTTTGGTTGGCCCTATCGTCTCGTAGCGTCTGCTGCGCTTAGACCTAAAGTAAAACGGAGTATAACTGCAAGTTTGTCCCATAAAAAAACAAAAAAGTAGTCTACGGTGATATTACAATTAGTGGCAATGATTATCCTTAGCCAGCGGAGTCAGGGAATCAACCGTGGACACCTCTTACGCGGTGGTTTGCTGAACCATGTTCAGGGAAAATTGGCAAGCGCTGTGGCGTCGTCTGCTCTGTGCCTAGCAGACGACAAAGCGAGGGTGTTACGTTACGCGTTACAATCGAGGGAGTGTTAGATTCAAGTAAATACGGTAGCTAGCGCAAATGCGGCATCGAATGATTTTCTGACTTTACTCCCCTTTCTAGTGCAGAGGTGCGCAACGTGGGGGTTGCAAGACGACGACTGGGGTTTCACGGGCTTAAGAAAGCTGAGCCCCTGATAGCTTTGACACCACTCTCAAGGGAGGGGGGAAGGGCGTGTACCGAATGGCGTTCATGTACCTAGTTTTTCTATTTTAATCTAAGACTGAGGGAAGGGTATGCCCCTCGACTATGCACAGCTAGGGATCACAGGTTTAACGTTATGTCAAATCTGTCGATTGCTTGTTGCCCCACGTAGGCCTTGGACTCTCCAAGGCCCAGTTAATATAAGTGGCTCCATTCGTGACCGCGGAGAATTACTAACCCCAAGATCAGCTCACTCGTAGCACGCAGGATAACGCTTGCCTGTCCTCTCTTTAGTTTGGAGAGCACAAAAGGTTCCCATGACAAAACCGATGGCGGACAGTTTGCCTGGGAAAGGGCGCACCAGTCTGAGAAGGGTGGGCACCATTAAAGTCTGTAAATAAGCTACACTTTAAAGTAGTGACACTTCTGGCATCTTGGTGCTTACAATCACTGACGCCACTTATCTGAAGCTTTATCTGGAATCCCAGGAAACGCTTTTAGGCCCTCCAGAAATGTTAAAACAGAGCGTGACAGAGTGTAACGATATCGTTTAAGCTTCCCTACGCCGCATCTAAAACACGGTAAGACACATTTTTCAAGTGTAACTATCGCCAATCGCTCTCGCTCTGCACTAAGCATCAACATGGCGGTGCCCACGAGGTAATGGGGAATGATGTGTTTGTGTACCCAAAGCATAGCTCACTTAATGGCTCCAGAACACGGTGTAAGATATTCTTTAGGTGAGGACACGGCATGGCAAACGGTGCGATGCAAGCAACCAGGTAAGGTCCCATTCGTGCGCACCCGAGTGGACTATGCCGACGGCGTCTTCTTCGGCCGAACGGCAGAAATGAGAAAAAAAACAATACAAACAAAAACCAGAAGAAGGTGTTGTTACCACGTCACCTCGAAACATGCACTTTCCGCTCGGTGCATCGGCTCTGACCTTGACAGATACTGGCTCGAACACCGCATCAGAGATCTCACCGCTTCGACGTGTTCATAAATCTGTTCTGGCCGCCGTTGAGGCACGAAACTACACAGGTTCTATGGTGAAGCTGCGTTTAAACAACACGCAGAGCGTGAGTGCGAAGTTCTACATGACACGGCACAGCCGGAAAAGAAAATTTAAAACAGGAGTCTCCCGCGGGGAAGCGTGGGAAACCGGGTATGCGACAGGCTATGACCAGCCGCTTATCAAAGAGTCATCTGGTGGCGTAGCTTGCAACTGAGGCGACGAGAGGTCTTCACCTGGCAGCTTTGACGCGCCCAGTTCTACACCTACGCCTTACAGCCTTCTCCAGGCGCTGCGTAGAAACAGGTCAAAAAGCGGCTCACCCTCGGGGTCCGACCAGAGGAGGTCACACATGGGTCCGTCGTGGGGCACCTCCTGCTTCCGGTCTATGGTCCGAATCTGGTCCAGGGTCTGGATCGACGGGGACAGGCCGCCGTGCACGCAGAAGATCTGTGGGGGATGACACACCGCTCGTCTCCATTGGGCATTGCATTACAGTCGACACGTGGCAATACAAAGTCGCTTTATACTAATTTTCAGTTTGAAGCAAAAGCACAAAAAGAAGTGCAGGATTCAGGCGCATTCACCGAGTGCGATTGGTTTAGTCATTGACAGAAACTGCACAAACAGCATCAGCGCAGTGATGATGCACTTTTGGTACCGCTTGATCGGCTCCATTGGATTGCAGCATTGGCTGCACTCAAACTTAACTTAAAACAGGGTATAGAGGTGCTGTCCCTGCAATTGCACATACGTTAAAAAAACAGAAATGCAAGAACCTGGCTATTTCCAAGGATCTCGTCATGTGCTCCAGCAGTCCGGAAACTCAAGAATGAAAGAACTTCGTAGCTATGCTGACCACTTCGGGCACATGATCATGCACACCTCGGTTCATTTTGTCCTCCGTAGGAAAGAGGGCAAAGAGCGTGGCCGCGCCAGCCAAGGAGCCAACTGAAAGCACAACCTGCTGCACACGTTTTGTCGTCCACCGAGTTGTTCCTAGGGAAGAACAGTGAGGTAACGCGGTGCGTTGGGGATGTCTTGCATCCTTATTTCTAATGTGAACTCGTGCAAGTGGTTGGACCTTGTGCGGTGCAAGAAAGTGCCGATCACTCCGACAAGGAACCGCCACGCTGCTTCCCCTGCTAATGCGGGGACTGCATTAGTCATTGCAAAGCGCTACTTCGGTGAAGGGAACAAAGATAACGCCCTAGAAATGTTTGCGACCTGCACAGCACCGTGGTGGATGTGAGCCAATGAAAACGAGTCGAAATTGGAAGCTCTTTCTTGCAAGTGACTACTTAAAAAGAAAAAAAAAAGATGCATGCTTTGAATGTTTTTTAAAATTTGAAGTCCACCAAATTCGAAGCAATTCGCTGCCTCCTGCAAATTTGAATTACAGAGAGCCAACCATATACCTTTCTTATCAATTTCTTGAGACCACAGCGATGTTCCCAATGCCTTGAGCCCTCTTGATGCATGCCCCCAATGAGATACAGAGTGGGGGATACTCGTTCCTAATGGTTGGCTTACAACATATCTCTTCTGTACAGGACTGAAGCACCAAGTAGTCTAACGATATGACATTTATAAGTCAGCAAAAGTTTTCAAGTGGTAGTAACAGGGGTGGAACTCATGAAATGTACTTGGGGGCAGTCACAGGAGCAGCTGAAACAGCTGTTTTGGAGCAGGTTGGGAGCAGCTAAAACTACAGTCTGGAGCAGGTAGGAGCAGCTCAAATCAGTCTTCATTGCACTTCAGCTTGTGTCTTCGACGAGCACAAGAACAATTTCAATTCTGCTTAGCAGCACAGATGAACATGAGAGGTTAGGGACCTAGGTAGATGGAATAACAGTAACAAATGCGAAATCTTGCAACGTTGTGAGCCTTAATGAGAACCAAAAAGCAAGTACCATATGTTTCTGCAAATAGTGTCCTTGATATTTTCTGAGTGGCTTTCAGCTGCTCAAATGCAAACCAGCACTGCTTATGGCACAACCCACACCTGCTCGACATAGTAATTATATGTGCGTACCACGTGACGTGTGTAAGCAACGGACATGCAGTTGCACGGAGGAACAGGGCAACAAATTCTGAGATGATACTATTGTACAACTCAATATTGAAGCAGCAGACTACGATCAATGGAGTTATCGTATTCTAAGCGATAAGCAGGAGCAAGGTTAAAGTACGCGGAGCAGATCTACCGCTCGCGCGAGAGCTGCTGGCCGGCAAGGATTCGGATCGGACCGCGTTTCAGTTTAATCAAATCACGATTTATCTTGCAGGAATGCGGTTCCAACTTCTAACGTTGAAGTACTAGAAAGAATCTTTTGCTAATGTGTTTTCGACAGGCTGAAGTCCGGATCCCAGGCCACAGAGCCTCAGGTAAAGTGACGCTTAACGACTCGACCCCATCTCGGCCGACTTGCTTAGCTGCTTATGGTTGAAGAATAACAATCCAGTCGCAGATGGTGTAGCGCTTGGAATTGAACCCCCGAGTTTTTTCGCGCGCTTCCGACTCGGGATACACAGGAAGAATAAACGGAACAAAGGATTGCAAGACCAACCAAGCTAAACGCGCTCATTGTTGCCAATCGAGTCAATAGAAATCAAAACCAAGACAAAAAAAAAAAAAAAAAGATTTGGCGCACGTTAAGCGATTTGGAGCATAATGGCACTAGCTATTGGCTGTGGCGCAGTTTTCGCAAAATGGCGCAGGATGGCGCAGACAAATGCGTCTGGCGCAAAATGGCGCAAATGGCGCAGCCGTTCCACCCCTGTAGTAAGCGTGATCTTTCTTCTTCCTAACCCTTTGAGGCCATGTGCCGGATGTCACCCGACAAAGAAATATTCCCAGTGAGGTCCAGTGTAGGGGCTCCAGCAACAGTCTCATATCTGCTTTGTGATCAATTGTCGCGCGCACCCCGACAACTTCCAACTTGTGCAATTTATCATCAGGTGCGTAAGCATGATGCATTTAAATTGTAGTTTTATGTGAAAAGGCCCAAGTAATTTCGTATGCCTTTTATTTTCTGGACAAGCGGAATTTTGCTTGCACATTCGCGCCTCGTTTACCACGGCAGCCTTTTCTCCAATCCCTTTTTATGAAAGATATGTTAGCAATTCAAGTGACGGTGGTGGAGAAGACAAGCCTGAAGAGGATTCTGGAAGTTTCAGTAATAAATCCTGAGAGAATGATTGGGACAAATCCGTGAATGAGAGCGATAAGGCGAGTCTTACAAATTCTCAAAGCTGGACACCCTACATGAACACAGGCCAAAATTCTGAAAATCTTCATTCTGCAGTTCAAAATACAACACAAAGTTTTTTTGTTTTGTTTTTTTAACGGAAGTTTGATGATGAATTTTACATACGATTGCTAAGGGATTGTATTGTTTTTAGTGTAAAATATTTCTGACCCCCAACAACAATGCAAAAAGTCACCCTTCGACGGTCATTGCCGTACATGTATGGCAGCGATTACACAGTTGAAAGTTCCTGCCTAAACGCGAAACCGAGCGCACCGCAGGAGGTGCTGCATTCTGTTATGCCTCTCGGGAACTATAAACATTGTATTCACACTGCGTTTCGCCTTGCTGGTGCTATTTAGAGTTTTAAAATTAGGCACTGAATGCACGTGATATATACTATCGTGGACAATATGAGCTGAAACGGCGCTCCGGCCTGTGCACGGGACTACCTGCGCCGCATGACGCATCGCTCCGCAAACACGGCGCACCCTGAGGCCGAGATAAGTTATCACTTGTGCTCACTGCGCCGCTGCGCTCTTCCGGCCGTCTGCTAGCGAAAATATTGGCCGACGGAACCACCATCACGATGCTCGTGCCGTGCAGCCCAATGTTCACGTTTTCAGCTATCATGCATAGCAGTGCATGTAAAGAAAGCGCCAAAGTGGAAAATGAGTTTTCAGGCTCGTGTCTCCTCGAGGAGAGCTGCCCGACGGAGCTGCTTTGACCGCCAAAAAGGAGCCGATCTGAACATCATCAAACACGTTTGGAGGTGCATCAAGATAGCGATGTCACGGCGTCCCCTCCCCCGCGCCACTGCCGATGAATTGCGGGGAGCTTTGAGAGGTGAATAGGGGGGGGGGGGGGGAGATTCTTCGGGCCAAGCAGGCGTCTTGGCCGCGCTCTATGAATCTTTTCCAGACAGGATGAGAGCCGTGGACGCGGTATTACCTTCCATCGTAAGCTTTAGTGCACCTCAGGACCCCATGAACCGGACTTCAACTGATTGGAACAAAGCTTGCTGCTACGATTTCGACACACTGTTTGGCTCCGTTACCCAGCAGATACCTTTGAGTGGTGCATCCTTGATCTCGATCTTCTTGTATAGTGCAGTTGAACTTCCATGCCAACTATTAATCTTTTGTGTCTGACATTGTCCTCTGCGAATATTCCTTTGATGAACTTTCAAGCTCCTTCTCTTGGCAAATATGTGACTCTTTGTTGAACTTTATTGAGACTAGGCATTTGTAAATAAAACACTGATGCCTTGTCAGCACTTGTTTTGTTTGAAATAAACACGTGGGCCCAGAAACAAAGAAATATTAATTTTGAACATTTTCATATTAATCAAATCAAATCAAATCTTTATTAAATCAAGGTTACAAAACCTCCGTAGTAACATGCATGGTTACCGTTGTTTCTTTTTTCTTTTTTGCCACTGTGCTCAATAAAAACAAAAATAAAAATGTAAATATCTTGAAGCCGGACGGAATTTCATACAAATTTCGGCCTGTATTTTACGATATCCTACTTTGTGCGTGCACTTCAAAAAAAAAAAAAAGCCTGCAACGTCTTTTTATATGACTTCCAAAAAACGATAATCTCAGCTGCATTTTAAGATACTTCAACATTTTTTCTTGATCAGTCTGAGTTTTTTTCTACGAGATTCTACACGATAGACTGAAGTAAATCAATTGCAAAAAAGGAACGACAAGTGTAGTCTTCTGTCCCTCTCCCCTCCCCCCCCTTTCCCTGCCGCCTTACCACACACATGCCCGCTGTCGCACACGCCGTCTCGCTAGCAGACGGCCGGAAGAGCGCAGTGGAGCAGCGAGCGCAAGTGATAATTTATCTCGGTCTCAGGGTGCGCCGTGTGTGCGGAGCAAGGCGACAGGCGGCGCGGGCAGTACTGCGCGCCGGCCGGAGCGCTGTTTCAGTTCATAATGTCCGCGATAGTGCAAGATGGTCACCTCTTGTGTCGCCTGCTCTGGCAGTAGTGGCAAACACAGTGCTGGTTCTCTCAATTCAAACTTTTAATGCTTCTCAGGATTGGATTTAGAGGATGGGAGTTCCTCATCCAATAGAGAAGCTCCAAAAAGATTCTGCCTTTCCGAGTCCGCCAGAATATCCCGAAGGCGGATGTGCCAAAATTAAATTGAATGAAAGGCGACAATGTATCACCCTCTATATTTTCATTCAATGCTTCTCAACTTGTACAGCTTGCAAGCACTATATGTGCTCTTGTTAGACAATTAAAGGAAACCTGAAGAGGCTCTAGGAGAAAACGAGTTGGAGGTGAATTCTAGAGTATTTTTATCCCGTGAATCTGAATATCACGTTCGCTTTCCCCGAAGATGTAACTAAACGCAAGAAAACACAAAAAACCTCCGACCAGTCGTTCTGTCATTAAAGGGTCTTTCAGCCGCCAAGCGCATGTTGCTCTGTGGGCAGTGCGCGTGCAATTGCAAGCTTGCCAGGTATATTCCCCTGCACTGACACCAGTTGTGACGTCTTTTTCTGACCTTTTTAAAAATAGCAAGTGCGCGCGCATAGCTTTGATAGCTGCTGAAGATGCGCAAGCACAAAGATTCTGAAAACTCCTTTTATGACGTAACGCAATCCACGCGAGTTGGTCCCGCGTGTATATTGCATCGTGAAATACGATTCTGCTGCATTCGCAATCTGCGGTATTTGTTCCCGTAACATACGAGTTTGTAGCGGATTCCTGCTTTTTTGTCCGTGATCTGCGCGCGCGATATCGGTTCCCGTGACAGGCAAGTTTGTAGTGGGTTCCCGCCTGCTTATTGCACCATAGAACTTGCATCTGCTGCATCTGCTGCATCCGCAATTCGCGGCATTCGTTCCCGTGAGATGCGAGTTCTCGGCAAAATTCCGCGGGTCTTTTGCACCATAAAACTTGCATCTGCTGCGTCCAGGATATGCGGCATTCGTTCCCGTAAAATGCGAGTTCTCGGCAGATTTCCGCGGGTACTTTGCATCGTGAAACGCGAATTCGCGGTGCCCGCGATCTGCGGTATCAGTTCCCACGTCACATGGTTTGTAGCTGGTTTTTGCTAAAGTTTTACTGTGGCATCCCCAAAGATAGCCCACCCCATGTTTTTCACCATTTATCTCTTCATTTTGGGTGAGCGTTCTTTCGGAACTTTATGGTAGTTCACTGGAAACGCCCCTTGTTCCGCTTCAATGAATAGATATTGACTACAGAGTGATGCCAAATTATCTCCGACCCCCACTTTTTAAGAAAGCGACCTTTGTATTTATCGGAGAGGGAACCAAGCCCGTGAAAGTGGCTTTTGTATCGATCGGTCGATACAAAAGTCGAGTCGAAAGGTGAAGCAAAAATTTACAGGAAGGCAAAACCCTCTTCCACGTTGGCCACGGCATCACGGAAACGATGGGACGCCATTGGATGCGGAGGTGGCGGAGGGATGTATGAATTCCTTTGAGCGGCATTTGCTGCTACTCTCTTGACCTGTAACTTACTATAGTGCCAAACGTGCCTTAGAGCATTGGGGAACAGGTTGAGCTCAGCTATTTTGTGGGCAGGGTCTTTCTTGCTGCTCTTTTGTCGTAACGCACTGTAAAAATACTTCTTACAAAATATTGACAATTAAAAAAAAAAAAAGACAGAGGTAACACGAAATTTGGCAACCAATCCAAGGAGTAGCTTGGCACACAGTCTAACATTCAAGGGCTATGCTGTTGACTCACCAGAGGCCAACATGGGGCACAGACTGGCTACCAGCGTTGCTTTGGCGTTAGGTTGGAACTCGCGTTAAATCGATGCGATCCCCAGCCGGACTCTGCACCCGGGTGACACGCTTCTGTTCCGGCCTTACAAAACCGGGAACTGCGGGGACTCAGCCGGATTACAGAGTCGGCGTTACGCTACAATGAGCAACTCCAGAAATGTGCGAGTGACCTACCAAAAAAAAAAGCCGCAGCTGAAATTCACTCGTAATAAATGGAAGTGGTCACAAATTCAGTGGAATCTATTGGCCCAACTACTGGCCTAAATTTAAGTATGCTAATGGTGGTTAAAATCCTGTACTCGTTCGTCGACCACAAACATATGAAAGTTAGGGTCTTCTTCGTTTTCGACTTGTTTCAGTTTTGTTGATGGTATAGAGAAACTCCCGCTCTGTACGAGGCACTTGGTTGAGTAAGACTCTCGATAATGTTCTCCACACTTTGTTGCCGTGAGCTGTCTGAAAGGAGACGAAGCCGAGCGTTCCGAGGATTTGCGTGACAGCCCCAAATCCGTAGCGCAAAGAAGCTTGTCGTCTCGGTGACATTGATCAACCATACAGCAAACCAACGTCTGGAACGCTCAGGCTCTGCATCAATGCCAGTCTTCAAATTATTCCTTCATCAGCCACTAAAGGGCAGCCTTAGCACAAACAGAGAATATACGCTTATATGATGATAGTTATCAAGGTGGCCAGACTGAATTTCAGAAAGGGTCTATTCACGTAGAGAATATTAATAGACTTCACAATGAAACCTGTGCTCCAAAAGGGCCAAGAAAACGAAAAGGCGTCCCCCACCTTTCCGTCGATGACGGCCGAGAGGGAGAGGTAGTCGAAGATCTCGGTGCAGTAGCGCCAGACGGTGATGGAGCCGTACTTCCGCAGGCACTCGTCGTAGAAGCCGTACACCTGAGTGATCTGGCGGCTCTCGTGGTTGCCCCGGATCAGGGTGATGCGGTCGGGGTACCGCACCTGAGAGGAGCAGCCAGTCAAAAGGAGGTGCAGCCTCATAGAAAAAAGTCAAAACTCTGAAAAACAAACCAGTATCTGGTAGATATGTGAAGGTTTGTGTTTAGTTTATGCTACTTTCAATTCTAGCTGTTCCTGCAGTATCACACTTTAAGAGCTACACAGTACCATTTATTAAACGATGTATACAAAATTCAAAACACAATGCTAACAAAAAATTTTTTTAAATAAGCAGCCGACATAGCATTGCTTTGAGAAAAGTTTAGTCATAGACTTTATGTACAAGTTATCAATAAAACATTAATCTTTCAAAAAAAAAACAAACTTGCAAGCTCATAATAACAAAGTTTTATAGATAAGATTTACATCCTGTCAAAATGAATTATACTATACTGAGTGTTCCTCACGACTGCGGTAAATAAGAGTACAAACAAGGAGGACATTTATTTCAACTAGCAATTTTTTTATTTTGCATTTTATTCAGCCAGCTGTGAAAACAAAGAAATTTATTGATGTGTGCCGATTGTGGCAGGTATTTTTTGTTCGTCAACAATTGTTCCATCCTGTGCTATACACCCATATGCACAACAGAGAAGTGGCAGGGATGCACAAGAACTACGACAACCCCATAAAGGGGTTGTCAAACACACGGCTCGCAAGTCCGCAAGCATCCCGGGACTGTGTGCCCTCGCTCAGACGTCTCGAGCGCTATGTACTCCACAAATAATAGACTCGTGTCATTGATGCCTTTCTGCTCCAAACATAGCTCTGGTCTTATAACATGTTCACATACTTTGCGCTATTCTGTTTCCTTTTATAATAAAACTTGCAGTTGTATTTCAATCCACTGATCAAACCGTCATGTGCTCAGAGCTGCATTTTATGAGGAAAGCAGTGGACGCTAACTCCAGTTTCAGTCTTTGGGGCATGAGCCGACATCTCTAGCGTAGCCACATTTTCATTTTGTATGCTTTATTTCTCTCCTTCCTTGTTTTCGAAACTTTTGCAGCTGGTCGCGATGCAGGAGTTTGGCACCCAGTGAACCCTCTTTGACCATGGCCACCATGGCATGCTTCACTTTTCAAGGCTAAATGAAACATCAGTAAGAGCGGAATTCAGCATTAAAAGAAAGTAACTACAAAATCAATCTCTAAATATAAGGGGGCCAAAATTTAAAAACCACTCAGTTTCTTGTTTAGGGGCCACTGACTGTTGAGGAGCAGCTTCCTCTTCTTCTGAGAGCAAATATGACTGTTCAACTGCAGCAGCCACTTTTTACAAGATGTTGTCTTTTCCTCTTGGTCACATGGCACAAAACGTCTGTTGAATATTTTCGAGTTTGAAGGGGCACTGACACATCAAAATCATATTTTTTTTATTATCCGAAACAATTGAAAACGATGCCAGGACATTACCCTCAAAATTCGAAACTTGGGAATTCAGTATTTGTGAAGTAAAAAAAAACAATTTCCAAATGTTGAATTCGAAGTTCCCGCGCGATCCGCGCACGTCAAATATTGCGGAGTCCTGAGAGTCCCCTTTCTTTCACAACTCCGTGCCGTTGCTATCGCGACCCAAAGCGAGGAGGAAAGGAGCAAGTGCCGGCGGACCGGTTTTGAGCGGTGTCGCCTGTTTTTCGTGGGAGGATACAAATCCAGGAGGCGGCACCTCAAAGGACTCTGATTTTTGATATTTCAAAAAGAAAAGCGTAGTGCGATCGCGATTGTGTTAAAAAACATGTTTTACGATTGCCGTTATTAAATGTTATAGAAATGTTGCCTACAAAGCTTCTAAATTTCATGATTCTTGACGTCACGAATCAAAAGAAGCGAGGAGGCGAAAAGCGGGAGAGGAGGGCAACAAAAATAAAAAGGCGGGCGCGCGCGTGGGAAAATTTTTTTTCGCAATGCGTTTTTTTTTTTGCGTGTCTATGACTATAACGTGCATCGTCTTAGACAATAAAATAAAATACGACCCTTGGGGTGTCAGTGCCACTTTAAGTATATTTTCTTTGGGATTAAGTTGTGATTAGTCTAAGGTTTTGCTTCTCAGTTCTTTCTCGCGTAATAAACATATAAAAAAAAAAAAATTCGCCTCCGCACGGTGGTTGAGCATCGGGCTCACATTTTTGGTGTCCTGGGTTTTGGGGTTGTAGAGAATTTTTTTCTTTCTTCTCTATCTATCCTCTTATCACTCCCACTCGCTCATGCATTTTTTTGTCTGTTACAGATCCAAATTTTTTCGGGAAAGGGTCCAAGGAGAAAAGGGGTAGGGGGGAGGGGGCTGCTAAAAGAACTGCAATTGCATTTAAAATGACCTTTCATGGGTTCTACTGTTGTTATTAATGAAAACATGTCACACAAAGGTTGGTACTTTTCAGGTGTACCGAGCTCTGACCCACCACTGCATGTAATTCAGGGAAAGCATAGGGGAAAACCTGGGTGGCTGGCTCTCGACTGGCAATTTTCTCGCAGAAAAAAGCCAGATTTCGAGTTGTGAATATTTTTTCTCGACTGTTGGTCCTCGATCCGCAAACATGGGGGAGCGCACAAATGCCTCATTGGATTATAGGTTGTCTTTTGAAGGACAAGCTGTACTGTCTTTTTGGCAAGGCTAAAACTCTTTCCCCTTTCATGCACAAAAGCAACATTCAAGAGGATACAGTACAGCAATTTTCGGTTCCATTTGCTGGCGGACATCGGAAAGAGGGAAGACAGAGAATAAAAACTCTGGGTTGGCTTTTGTAAGAATGGCCGTGTCACAAAGATGCTCCAACTTTTTCTCCAGCACTCAGAGTTGGGTACTACGTGAGAAGCGACTGGATAAGACTAAGCGTCACACACGAAACTGTCGACAAGCCACCTGGATGGCCACTTCCGCTTAGACAAATAGAGCTTTCTTGAAAGTCGCTCTAGCCACCCTGTCCGGAGTCGAACAGTGATGGAGGCATCACACAGCCTCTCCACGAAAGGAAAATTAAAAATTTTACAACACTACGGCAGGCAGCAGAGAAATGATTGGCACAAACTGGTTGAAGTATATGTGCCCTTCAGTTCACGAAGCTGAGGGTAAGTGATTTGGACAATTTGCTCCTTTTGTGACCATCATTGGAGCAAAAATGTTGGAGCTTATGCGACCACGGAACGTCCTTCTTCCTCGTGGGCGACTTTGTCAGCCATGGGGAAGAGGAACACAAAAGTGCCGACAGCAAAGAGTTGGCGCGCAGGATCACCTTTGCAAATGCAGTGATGGTTTTGTGGCAGGCATAATGTTGCTTAGGAGCAGCTAGTGACACATCATTTTGAAAATTAATTGATGATTGCATCATTAAATGAGACAAACTTTGATAATACTTCAGTGTTCACATTTTATATTGAAATATATTGCCTATTATCTTTTGTAATTATAATGCATATAATAATAAAAAGGTACAACATGACACACACCTCTTTTTTCTAATAAGGCTCAGGTCGATGTGGATTTCATTTATACTAGGGTTAAAAAAAATGTCTGAAAAATGAATCGTAGCAAGATACTTCACTTGAAATGAAGTGTCTCGCCCACTCCATATTTCTAAAATTCCGGAAAAAAACAAGCATATCCGTTGAAGCGTCAATCAATGTGTTGCTTACTGACTGTGATGGCATACCGACCGCGAGACAGTACGACGGTGGACGCAAGCACCGGCTGCTGCGCAATCTAAATACCGCCTTCCGCGTGCCCACATTCGGGATATGGACGCTCAACCTAGAGCATGCATGTGCGCCCATAAACCTTTGGTTCACCGTGCATGACTTACAGGACGCCTTGAATGGACTACTTTACACAATGAAAATATGTTCCACGAAGATTTACAAACCTACAAGACTCAAATATCTAATATCATGTGCTGCAAACACCTCCCTTCAATATTAAAATATTAACAAAAATTGAAGTTAGTTTGGGGCCTTTTCGATCAACTGTTGTGCGGGAACTACCTGGACTACTTTTTCAAATAAACGTCCACATTTTTTTTTCCTTTTTCGGCATTGTTTTTTGTGTTGTTGTTGTTTTTAAATTAAGGGTCGACCTACAATCCAGAACAAGAGACAAAAAAGGTAGACCTGTAATAGAAGGTACTGAGCCTAATTTTGGATCCGATTGCGCTGAACAGTGGATGCACTTTTAACAAACCAATGCGGCGCGGTGAAGATTGATGCACACATGCCAGTGCGAGGTGGTGAAGATTGACACCAAATAGCGATAGTGTCACGGCGTGGAAGCATATGGCCGAGATGAAGATCAAGTTATCTCACCGGGAGTATGAGACCCAACCTGGTTCTGTCTTACAACAGCAACCGCCATATTATTTTTTTTCTTGCGACTTCTAGCTCCATGACATTGCCAACATTATTGTTTGGAAGTTCAGATGATGAAGTGGATAGCAGTGTTGCGGAGTTGCCACTCCGGAGTTGGAATGTTTCATGAATCATTCCGCATTTTCGAGACCCCTGAATGAAATGGGAATGGAATGGCGGCAACGTTGAGGGGAATGGAATGGGAATGGAATTAGATGCCTTTTGCCTGGAAGGGAATGGGAATGGAATGGGCCCGGTTCTATATATATGTATGTATTTACGTTCAGTTATACCGAGCCAGTCAGGGAGTGAGTTGTTCAGAAATAAAATGAGCGGGAAACTGCGAACCCGCGTAAGGCCCTAACAGACTTACAGTTAAACCTCGATGTAACGAAGTCGGTAAAATTCGCAATTTACTTCGTTACATTGAAATTTCGCTAAATCAAAATTTAACTTTAGCATGCAAAAAAAAAAAATTTCGAAACATTTTACGGGTAAGAAAACTCACCGAAAATGACATTTATTTTGGGGCAAAGTACTCCGCGAGTTTTGCTTGCGCCTTTACGACAGTAGCAGCGGCGTCATACGGCGTTCGAGCGCCCAAAGCGCTTGCACGGCATCTTGCTGCGTATGCGACGCCGTGTACCTCCTCAGTACGTCCACTGCGTCGAGCACTTCCCGAGTGCTCGTGATCTCAGCACTTTCTTCAGGATGGCGTCCAAAACGTTCGCTTTCTCATCCAAAAAAAGAACTTTACGTTTCCTTATGCCAGCAAGCACGTGAGTGAGCCGCCCGGTTGAAAAATAAAGCTGTTTAGTTTAGGCGGTGCCAATGTTTCTAACCTACACAGCACTCTTGCCCGCACAGTTTACTTGCCCCCTTGCGCCCACAGTGTGCTTGCGCCTTTGCTTTACATCACGGTCGCAAGACGATAATCGGTCTTCTCGGTCTTCTCCTAGATGGTACTGCCCGTGCGGTCGCGCCATCACGTCGCTCCCCCGCTGAAGTTGGCTCCCGCGCTACCCGCGGTACAGTGGACTATGATGATCAGTGAATGTCAGTCTGTCAGTGGTGATGCTGTTATGCCGTGTAAACTTTTTGCTCGGCATTTTCTGGCCAGCCCCGCGGAATCCGCTTTGCCGCATGCCTCGCCGGCGCTACCGGCGCCGCATCCTCGGGCAGCCTAGGAACGTTGGAAGGCCTGTCCCCGTGAAGTAACCTTTCAAAGCGCTCGCGTTTGCACATAATTTTTTTTTTACCACGATTTTTTTTGCGAAGTTGTTTTTTAGAGTATATTTATTTATTGCCTTCTATGGCAATGGCGCTTTGTTATATTGAAATAGCAGCAAAATGGACTTCGTTATATAGAGACTAAAAATACATGGGGTCTATGGGCAAATAATTATGAAAAATAAAATACTTCGTTAAATCGAGGATTTCGTTACATTGAAGTTCGTTATATTGAGGTTCGACTGTATATGCAAAAACAAATGCAATACAAAAAACAAGCGTCAATGCAGGGGGGAGGGGGGGGGGGCGGCGGTGGCGCCTTTCACCAGTGAAGTTCAACATGTATCCGAATGCGTCTGCGCCTATAATATTGCACGGCTCAAGGGTACGCCGACGAGAACGTGACCCGCTGCTCTGGTGATCCGATACCCAGGAAGGAGGCCAGACGTGGCCTCGCTGTGCGGACCCACATTTTGTACACCTGCGACTCGTCTCGAGCGCGCTGTTTCTCGGAGAGCTCGCACCTGTGCCCGCCATCTTGGGTCGCAATCCGCGAGCTCTCTGTTTGAATGATGCTAGGCGAAACTTGAAGACTGCCATTCATGCGTTGGAGGCAGAGAGTCGGCAGGAAGGACCGTCACAACAGGGATGCCACCGTATCAATTTTTCAACCGTAACAGAAGATAAGACATGTGCTTTAGGATGCTTCAGGTGGTCCACTTTTTTCGAAAATTCCAAATGCAACAACCTGCATGGTCTTCAACGAGGTCACCTACAACGAAAGTATGTATTGTCCTTTCATACAGCAGCGTGGGTAAAGTTTCATGTTCAAGGCAACACATACAGATACAAGGATACTAGTTCACCCCACCGTGACGTCATGTGATCAGTGCTGACAGGGGATGCCCTTATCGGACAGGGAAGTGCTGATGTTTTGATGGAATTCATTTAGAGGTCGAAGCCTTTTCGCATCACTAGTCAGTCAGACAGGATGCCGGGGAAGGGACCGCAGTCAATCCTTGGTGGAACGTTTTTTTAAACCCATTGAGGACTCTTTGCCCGGAACCACTACCTTCAAGGCGAAGTACCAAGCCTGCGGAAAAGTAATTTCGGGACCAAAAAAAAAAAAAAAAAAACTTCCACTTTAAACTTAAAGCCTTATCTCAGTTGGCGTCTCAAAGAAATTTGAAAAGTGTATTGCATTATCAGTATTTATATTTCTGCCCTCCCTAAAATGTATTCTTGTATTTGTATTTCCAAAGACTTTCTGCCTATTTTTAAAATGTATTTCCGATACGTATCGCGATACATTTTTACGGATATATTTGAGACTTGAGTATCAGTATCTTAGTAGCTATCTTCATCTATCCCAGTATTTGTATTTCCAAATATATTTTTGAATATTTCTGCCCAACCCTGCAACGTAATGCAGCTGTCTAGTGACACCTTTAACGTTTAGGAATTAAAGGAATGGAATGGAACGATTCAGCCAATCCAGGAGTGGGAATGTGCCCAGTGTACCCATTCCGAGGAGTTGAAAGGAATGGAATTATCGAAAACTCTAATTCCCCGGAATGGAATTGAATGGAATGGTGGATAGCACGGTAGACAAGCGAATGTTTCCTACAGTAAGTAGAGACACCGCAAAATAATGTTCTACCATTTACTTTGATTTAACTTCTCTCAGTATTAGTGCCGACAAATATTAAATTAATTTTGTGCTTTGTTTAAAGGCTTGTGTACACTTCGCGCTTTACATTTTTTCCCGTCTCCTACTTTCCTATATCCTCTCCACTTTTTTCCCTTTCCCAGCTTGGCACACCTCAAAGCTCCAGGAGAGGGGAGCGCTAAGAGGATTATCTTCCCAGCAGAAAACCGAGGTTGTATGTGGGCCTTTAAGCACATCTTGACGCAATTTTCAACAATGGCATTTCGGTGAGACACTTTACAGACTTGCGTTTACGGCACACCTTTGTACAAATGGCGCGGCACTTCAGTCACTACAAATGTGTGCAGAGGCCCTCCCCCACTGCCTCGGTCGCCAGGGCCCGAATGGAGAGTGTGTATGCACGTGCAAACACACCTTGAGCGCCAGTAGCAGCAGGAAGGTTTCGACGCTGTAAAAGCCCCGGTCGACGAAGTCGCCCATGAAGAGGTAGTTGGTGTCCGGCACGTCCCCGCCCACCTTGAACAGCTCCTTCAGGTCGTAAAACTGGCCGTGGATGTCCCCACACACCTGCGTGGCAAACCCCGAAAATGACATTGGCACCACTGGTCAGTCGCAACCTTCGCCAAGCGCCCTTCCATCCATCCGACGGGCTTGCAGTCGCTTCTATACTACCGTTTCACACTATACACTACAGCTTTTTAGTTAATTAGGCAACGAATTCCGCCATTGCGCCTTATTTCTAGTGGCCATAATAGCCACCAACTTGGCCCAAGGGCTCAAATTACCCTATCTCAGCTTCCAATTCTTCTAAAATTAAAAAAAAATATAAAAATTGCATGTCTTTATGCTTAATCAGGTTTGTTGACTAAAGTCGGAACTGTATTTTTCTTTTTTAGAGCGCAGCCAATGTTGGGCAGCTGAAATCCCAACTTTCGCAAGCCTGAAGAATGCCATGTACAGGGAGCGACGCCGTCATCAGCCAAGACTAACTGCAACTGCGGACGACATTCAACTGAGCCTGTTGTACCAACAGACAAAAGACGGCCATTCCTTCTACTAGGATCATGTGATGAGCTAGTTGGCTATAGATTACAAAATTAAAAGTAGCGCTAAAGACGAGGACAAGTAGGAGACACAGACACAGACAGGTATAAATATCAATTATTTGTCAGCGCCTATCCGTGTCTGTGTCTTCTACCTGTCCTCGTCCTTAGCGCTACTTTTAATTTCCTAAGGCCATTCCTTCGTCGTAATCGATGACATTAAAGGGGCACTGACACATCAAAATCATATTTTTTTTTATTATCCGAAACGATTGAAAACGATGCCGGGACATTACCCTCAAAATTTGAAATTTGGGAATTCAGTATTCGTGAAGTAAAAAAACAATTTCCAAATGCCGAATTCGAAGTTCCCGCGCGATCGGCGCCGGTGCCTTGACGTCAAAAATTGCGGAGACCTGAGAGTCCCCTTTCTTTCACCCCTCCCTGCTGTTGCCATGGCGACCCAAAGCGAGGGGGAAAGGAGCCAGCGCCGGCGTTCCGGCGGACTGGTTTTGAGCGGTCTCGCCTGTTTCCCGTTGGAGGATACAAATCCAGGAGACGGCACCACAACGAACTCCCGATTTTTGGTATTTCAAAAAGAAGGGCCGTAGTGCGTTCGCAATTGCGTTAAAAAACATGTTTTAGGATTGCCGTAATTAAATGTTATAGAGATGTCGCCTACAAAGCTTCTAAATTTCATGATTCTTGACGTCACCGATCAAAAGAAGCGAGGAGGCGAGAGGCGGGAAAATCAAACGACAAAAACAAAAAGGCGCGCGCGCGCGCAAAAAAATTTTTTTTCGCGATGCGGTTTTTTTTGCGTGTCTATGACTGCAACTTGCATCGTTTTAGACAATAAAAATAAATACGACCTTTGGGGTGTCAGTGCCCCTTTAATGTCATTGATTACGATGACATTAGTGTTAGTGGCTCTCGGATCTTGACATTTGCATCACGGGAGGGTTTGCTGCGCTTGTCATCCGGGTAGATGCTCTTTGTTGACGGCACAGTTTTTGTTGTGCCTCAGATTCTTATCAACTACTGACCACTCATGTCATGTCGGATGGCAAACACTCACTTACAGTGTATTTTCTGTTGTCCGATAGATCTCGTGAGACACATGTTCGAGCATTTCAAAACTTGAAGGGTGTATTCACTGCTGCAGGCGTCGTATTTCCGAATCCTGACACATTTCTTAGAGACTTCGAGCAGGCACTCATCGCAGGCATGCTAACTTTATTCCCAACCGCAATCCATCATGGGTGCCATTTCCATTTTATAAAAAGAGTGTGGGCTGCAGTGCAAAGAGCCGGCCGCCAAACCGCGTACGGGCAGGATGATACTATTAGGTCCCTTATTAGGAAGATGGTGGCCCTGTCGTTCAAGCCAGATCCCGACGTCCAGCGTGCATGGCTGGTTTTGCAACAAAAAGGCACATCCCTCGGTGTTTCAGGCGTCATCACTGTGCTCGACTATTTTGATGGCGCCTGGATAAATGGCCATTTCTCCATTCAACAGTGGAACCACCACGGAAGCCGAGGACCGCTAACAAACAACCATATGGAGTCCTGGCACCGCAAGATAAACGCAATGTCAGGGAGGGCTCACCCGAACATTTACAGCTTCATCGATTTGATCAAACGGGATGAGGCTTTGACAGGGGTATCTTTGCAGCAGCTTCCAAATGGTGGTGCCGTGAGGGCCAGGGGGCACAAGTGGGTTAGCAAAAACCACTAACTATCAGAACTGGAGTGTCAAATTTCTGATGACACAATTTCCCTGTTTCTCAACAAGGCGAAGGCATTTTCTGGTCTATGATGTTTTTGCGTGTGCACGAATGTTCAGTGTCTGAAATTGTAAAAGAAAATAAAGTCGCAATCATATGCCTGTCAGCCTGTCTGATTTGTCGCTCTCCAAAATATCAAGATCACTAATGTGATTAATAGAAGAGCAAACGCAAGCGCTTTGGGTACCTTAAAAATAGTGTCGTGATGGCGACACTAATTTTAGCTTACCCAATGTGCTAGTGTACGTAAGACTTCATTGTATGTAGCGCGACACTGTTAGTGCGAACAAGCGATCGGCGGCATTGCTGTCTATCTTGTATAATTAAAAGGCTACCATAAAAACTATTACTGTCTTTGGAAGTGCTCATATGAGCCACTACCCTAAGCCCTCAAATTTGGTGACTGCAAATACCATTTCGAGGTAAAATTAAAAAAAAAAAAAAGCGACAAGGTCGCTTTTGCAGTAACGGTGTCACAAAGTGTACATAGACCGTTTCGCGGTAGCACGTAAAGGGTTCAAACAGGAATGGGTTGTTTCGGGCTACACCTCACATCAGCTCTGGTGTTCACTGTGCTGCGCGGAACACCAACCACACGTTCCGATGTTCCCTTTAAGAGTAGACTGCTCTGTAACTGCTTCAGCTTTCTTCAACCATCAAACATCATGAGTGAACAACCAGAAGCAATTTATGGTTTCAGACAGAATCTATAAAAGCAAAAGGTGAACACCAAATCTATTCTGAACCAACATAAAGGGACACTGACAGGGTATTTATGCTCACCAAGGTTTTTATTTATACATGACGTATGAGAGCCGAACCCTAGAACACAATTTGCCTACCTAGAACACAATTCGTGGCTCGAAATTTGTTTTCGTTACGCCCGAAAACCGACGATTGAGAAATGACTGGTTCGAGTCATGCTTACTCTCTCCTCCGTGGTCATGTGCAGTTTGCTATGGTTTAGACACAACCACCAAAAATAATCAGTCGTGGCTCATCGAAGGCACACACTCAATACTAAAAATAGACAAAAAATTGGATACCCATTCTTTGTGGCTTCTAAAAAAAACTGCAAATATGTTGATTAAGAAAAAAAAAAAAAAGTTTAACAGCCACATGACTTTTGGTAACTTTCTCCTCCTCTATAGCTCTTCTTCCTCCCAGTCCAGTTTTGGTTTCGAGCAGTTGAGTTTTTTTTCACTTTATTAGATATATATGGAACGCTGTAGCAAAATATTGGTTGGGTCGTAGCCTTACGCCCTAATAAATCGTCTGGCAAAAAAATTAAGTTTTGGGGGGTTTCAGTGTCTCCTTAAAAGAAGAAAATGAATTTCGTAACAACCAAAACCACCAAAAAGATTGGGTTGTGTGTATGTTTATACAGCCTAGAACTTGGTCTGCCTCACAGGGGCGACGAGTCTCCCAGCTGTAGATGAGAAATTTAGCCAGTGCGGTACAGCCGCTAGCCTGGGGTCTTTAACGTGCATCACGCAGTAGTGATACACGACCGCACGCCGGTACGATGCTCATCCAGATCGAAACGGGCAGGGGTGGGGCTCGAACCCAGGATCCCTGGGTTCTGCAGCGCGAGCTTTCGCTCCACGTGCTCCGAGCTGGTGTGCGCTAGACCACTCGGCCACCGATCCCCCCAAAACCACCAAAGAAACACAAGCATACAGCTTTCTTTTAAAGAGGAAGTGAGGACAGTGTTGGTTTAACGGTAACTGACACTGAAAGAATAAAACACACATTTGGAACGTACAACCAATCTTTCATCCAATCGTAAATTAATTTTTTTAAAGACTGGTTGTCCGTCCCCAAATGCATGTTTTATTTGTTTAGCTTCAGCTTTCTTTTGCAGTGAACCTAGGTTGCAGGAAAACCTCAATCCAATGCAGGCAACTGTGATATGCAGTTTTGGAGCCTGCAATTCGTTTCCAATTTCAAAAAAAGAAGAAAAAAAAAAACTGCTAGGTTTTAGATACTGCAAAATTGAAACCTTGCAAACATGCAAAAATGTAGGGTCAATCAATGCTCCTTTACAAATACAGTTATTTTATATGGCTTAATGTCACTAGCTTTTCAAGTAAATAAAAATAAAATTTAAACCAACCCTTGACAGCCACGGGTGTCAAGGACCCTTTCCCCCACGTAAAATACACTTTAAAAACTTTTTATCGTAAAAAAAAAGAAAAGAAAACCGCCGTGTTCTCAAAAATGTTTGCAACCAATGGACGTAAGAAAAGAAGGTTGCAACAATTTTTTTTTTTTACAACTTTTACAGGTGTGTTTTTACCTCTCCATTACGATGGTTGCACATTTCACGTCAACAAACATTCCTCCCTGCAAACTGAGACGGAGTTGTAACGCACACACCTGAGTTGCGTTTTAACATCTTCATTTTCGCCCTTCCTTCTCGAAAGCCCACGAGGTTCATGCCAAGTCGGCCCACTGACCGCTAATTCATATGCGTCACATCCACGAAGTAGCTCACCTGAAGCAAACGTTGAACCTATGAAAGTTGGTATCCGAACAACGGCGCTCGCAGCGTACGCGCGCACATACAGGCACGCGCGCGCAGACTCCTTAAAAAACACACCTCCCTCACCGGTAAAGCAGCCGTACTTACGGTGACAGGAGAGTCAACTCGTTGGACGTTGCTCTCTTCGACGAGTATCTCGCGGGCCTTGGCGCACAGCGATTTCACCTCCGACTCCTTGATGATCTCACAGCGCCGCAACTGTTCGATCTGCCTGTCCAGGTCGCTGCAGTCTCCCATGCCCCCGTCCTGCGCGCAATCGAGGAAAAACAGACGCGGGTTCACGTAACCCAGAGATCGGCGAGACACGATGCGCCGAGGCACGGCACAGGGGAACACGTTTGGCCCCCGAAGGACGCGGGACGTTACGCGGGTCGAGAGCGGTCGCGGGCAGCACCAAGTCCGACGATCCCGACTCCCGAAGAGTTCGTGCTTACCAGAAACATGCTGGGAGCTTTTAGATATATGTCGGGGCCGACGGAAAGCGGATGAGATGGGCGTCGGAAGCGGCAAAAAGACTTGGTTGGTTGAATGAGTGACAGGCGGCGGCGGCAAAAGAAAAAAGCGGCGGGACGACAAACCCGTATGTGAAAGAAACTCCGCTCGTGTGCGTCACCACAGGTCGTGGGGCTCTCGTTGCGAGGGTGAGCTTGACGGGGGACTCACCATTTTGTAGGGGGTTGTGGCACCGTCGCCGTTCGGGTAGACAGCGGAAGACGTTCACAAATTTTGAGGCTGAATCATTGCTGTCCCTTTTTTCTTTTCCTCGCACCCGCCGCTAACCACCAGCCGTGGCCGCCGTACCCGCACCGGACGCACAAAACACGTAAAAAATTATAACAACAAAAGAAAAATCGACACGTGATTGAATTCGGCCGCACTGACGTGATGGCATTGTTCAAATCACGCATATTCTGTAGAAAAATAAATAATTATAAACCTAAATTAATAAAAAATACATTATTTGTTATAATTTGTAAGTTTTTGAAGATTAACAGTTGACGCACGAAATTGTACGAAAACGAGAACGAGCTGCTGCAGTCCGCCTGGCCCGTCTCCTTCGGAGCAGAGTAGCGCCACTGATCTCTATGACAATTGCTGGATCGCGTTTGCCCGCTCCGCGAATGCGGTCACTGGCGGCCATCTTTAGGTAGAGTTATATCACCTCTAGCCAATGTAACCTGCTGCAGCCGCTATCATCCATCCATGGCAGATAGCGTTTTGGCAGGTGGGTTGGCAGGCTGCGGTCAAAATAGCGCGGGTGATATTGCGCGCTTGATTAAAATTATTTGACGAAACATGTTTTTGAAACCCGGCGTGAACAGTAGTCCGGTTTTTGAGGACCTGGTAAAAGTTTCACAAAATCGCAGCACAGCACGTATCGAAAGTCGCATCGAAAGAAGCATCGAAAGCAGACGACGGTTCGGAGTCTGCTTTTGATGCGAGCTGCGCTGCTTTCCGCCGGTGCTGCGCTTTCGTAGAACTTTTGCCGGGTCCTCAAAGATGAGGCTACCGTTCACGCCGGGTTTCAAGAATCTGCTTCGTCGAACAACTTCAATCAAGCACGAAATGTCACCCACGGTACAGTGTACTAGATCTACGGCTATTTTTATGGCAGCCTGCCGCCATTGCGCTGTCCGCCATATTACTATGATGGCTAGAGATGATATAACTCTACCTAAAGATGGCCGCCAGTGACCGCATTCCGGTCCATAGGAGGAGCTGGTCAAACGCGATCCAGCAAATAGACATAGAGATCAGTGAGTAGCGCACACTGATCTCAATGACAATTGCTGGATCGCGCTTGCCGCTCCCGCAAGTGAAGCCACCGGGCGTCACTCGCTTGGGATACGATTTGCCGTTTTCGCTAGCCTTTGCTGCGGTTTTCCAGCGTGCTGACGACACGTTTTCTACTCGTTCGTCGTCATTCGCCGAAGAAGTTTTTTGAAGACTCTGTGTATTGTTGAGACTTTCCGTTGTGAACACGTGGAAAATTTTACGAAAGTGCAGTGTCGCAGGAAAAAGGCACAACGCGTCGAAAGGAAGGGCTGGCGGCGTGTTCAAAGCATCCTTGGCACGCCGAGTGATGCATCTTTGTGCCTTCGCACGCTTGGATACCGGTCAAGAATTGACGCCGCGCCAAAGTTCTGAACGTGTGTCGCGCGTAGATGCCTTTAGATCATTTATATATATCGGCCACGGAGTTCTGGATCGTCCAGCTGTTCCGGTGAGTTGCTATCAATAAAAGGGGGAGATCTGTACGTATTCTTATGTACTATATTAACCATGGCTACGTCCCAAATCTACTCTAATAGATTCCGTGGGAGCACGAATAGGGCAACGTTGTACGTGGAGCCAGGGGGGTTTTCGAAAGCAAATGTACAAGACGGCGAGAATGAAAATCTTTGAAGCGCGGCCGATATGGTAGTGTGCAATCTGTTGACCAATTACAATTAGGCGAGTCGCGTAGGTTGATAATAAGCCAGCACTGATCAGTGATGAGGAGCTGTTGTGCACGGTGTTGTGTAAATCGTCTAAGGACGAAAAAAAGACGTACCTTCTCCCCATCTCCCGTCGCTAGTGGACGCTGGATTAAGCTCGTTCCTAACCCGCGAGGGGAAAAGACGCTGATCCAGAGGCACGAACAGCTTCACGCACATTGCACTCGCTGAACACATACACACGGCGTCGGTTCTTGGTCGGTATCCAAGCGTGCGAAGGCACAGAGACACGGCACTTCGGCGTGCCAAGGATGCTTTGAACACGCCGCCAGCCCTTCCTTTCGACGCGTTGTGCCTTTTTCCTGCGACACTGCACTTTCGTAAAATTTTCCACGTGTTCACAACGGAAAGTCTCAACAATACACAGAGTCTTCAAAAAACTTCTTCGGCGAATGACGACGAACGAGTAGAAAACGTGTCGTCAGCACGCTGGAAAACCGCAGCAAAGGCTAGCAAAAACGGCAAATCGTATCCCAAGCGAGTGAAGCCCGGTGGCTTCACTTGCGCTGCAGCGAACAAGCGGGGAAGCGCGATCCAGCAATTGTGTAGCGCACTAGAACGCCGCCTCTCGGCGACTAGCGGCGAACGCCCGGAGGTTCCAACTGCGGTCAGAAATGCATGGAGAACGTGAGAAAATCGTTGTTTCTTCAGTATTGTGAAAATGTACGGAATGGCAATCGTTTTTGACCTAATAATTGAACATTTTAGAATAATTTGCGCGAAGTTTTGTGCCCCGCAAGGACCTGAATTTTTTTTTAAAATTGCTTGAACGGCATCATGCAGCAGACGACACGGCGACGTCACACCATTCACGTGACCCGCTCCGGCCAACCCGAAAAGCCCATCTCCGCTGCGAGCAAAAATCGTCTGCTTCAAACGCCATTGCCTTGGAAATTGCCTTCTCAAAATTTGCACACGCATCCGATATTATTAAAACTTTGATAAAGTGTTTAGCGCTTTACTAACTTCACGACAGACTAGTTTTGAAAAATGTGAACTCGCCGTTAGTTTTTTTAATCAGCCGTGTTATGTCGATCTCCATGTATTCTCCCATAGGGCGGGCGGGGCGGGCCGCCTCCTAGAACCCTGAGTACCAAGTGACTCGCGCCGAGCCGCTCTGTCGGCCATGTTGTCGGAAAAACACGGGGTTCAAAGGATTGCGCTACTCTGCTCCGTAGGAGCTATATAGTGCTCTAGTAGCAACACCATTGGTTGTCACACATACATTATAATAACTCTATGGGTTGTCAGGTCGTAGCCCCCTTAACAACAGTTGCTAAGGTAGGCACGCTACGTACGGAAGCCAAGCCAAGCTGGCCAAGCCAGCCAAGCGCCAAGCCGCGAAAGCGTGACCAAGGCAACCGCGCGCGCAACCTGCATGAGAAAGGGGGAGCGGGAAGCGGCCCTTTTTTTTTTATCGTCATCTCCAAAAAACCCAGGAACGCCCATAGGAGCAGTTTCCTCGCATCCGAGGCGATAACTCCCTCACAAATTGCACAACCGTCGAATGCAGACTCCGGCGACTCGATGCAGCGGCCCGGCGTAGTGCGGCCCGTGTGATTACTCCGTCGTTGTGCGGCATCTTTTGTCCGTACAGCCGTGCAACGCGATCTCCGATCATCGCATCGCTGGCATCGCGCGCGCGGTCACCGGATAAGCCATGGGCAACATTCAGACGGTTGGCCCCAATGAAGCTCTCATCGTATCAGGTAAGCTGCTTGCCTTTTAACTCCCTCGGTTTATCCACCAAGATTTCGGTGAAGCCGCGTTGAAAGTCCCTACCCGCGCCGGCGCTGGTCATCTTGAACATGGGAGCGGACGCCGAAGGATGTTCTCCCGGCGTCGCCTTAGGCCTAATCGCGAGTTGAGGCTGTAAAAGGAAAGCGGCAAAATCTGTTTTCGAAGAAAACTGCAGTCTGCTAGGTTACAGTTAGCAGACGAAACTAGCACATCGGAAAGTTCATCTGGATAGGAGACTGCGGACCTATTATATTCCTTTAATTACTCAGTCGTCGACTTCTCGTACCGGCATACTCGTTCGTTCGCGTTTGTCCCTCGCTTATCACCGCCAGCGCTACCTGTTTACGTGGTTTACGGTTTACGTGCGAGCGATAATGCTGACAAGGGCTTCCGGGACTTTAAAGCTGCGGCCAACGTTGGCTGCGGCAACACTGACTGGCATTGACCGCGCGTGCTTTGCTCCCGTGATCACAGGCGCACAAGTGGCTCGAGTTACCGTGTGACGAATGTCTTCGCTTGAGTAGTTTGTTTTCAAAAGGCGGTCTGTACAACCAAATTTGACTGTCAAAAAATACACTCTCTCCCAAACCGCAGGCAGACACGCAAGCGTCCGCTTCACGAGGATAATTAGTCCGTGCTCGAACTGGCAGAGTAATTAAAGTGTTTGCAGGTCTGCGGCCAAGGTCGTCGCATGCCAGACGGGGTCGTACACGTTCCATTGCCCGCTCGTTGCATTGAGGAAATCAGAAACTTGTCGCATTGCGCTGTTTGAGGAAACGTGCAGGCGTGCGCCCGGTCTGGAAAATTGCCTGGTATCTACGAAGAACCGCAAAAGCCTGCTGCTGAAATTGATTGTGATCGCGCGCAGCAACCGCTTGTGTAGGCATTAGTTGTGTTACTACTATGCGATTTCTTCCGTCATATTATAATAAAGATTCCGTGTATTCGAAGTTTTATTTTTCGTCCAATTCGGAGGGTGTTTGTCCGAGTTTATTCTTGCTTAATTCCTAATTCTTCGAAATTTGGAGTTTAATTTCGCAGTGTTTCTTACTAATAAGAAAGAAAATAATAATATCCGAGTGTAAACGTATTCTAGATAAAAACAAACAAAAAAACACGTGCTTGTATTAATATTTCTTCAGCTGGATTTGGCAGTGGTGCCATTTCCATTGGCAATACTAATTTGTCCCACGACAAAAGTTGCACACAAGTGTTGCCTCGATAAACGTCGATACCTAATCAATAAGTCCCTGGAAATAGTTGCTGCGAGGCTCGTATTCATCCCATTCTATTCCATTTACCTACCTGCAGCCGTGCAAAATGGAGTGGTAAAAGTGTAATAGAGAAGTTTCAACTGCCTCAGAGCCGTGTATAGAGAAAGTTTAGTCAATGGGGGGAGTGGGCAGAGCCAGGGTGTGCACAAGACGCACACAGAGGGCTTGGCATGATTTCTTGGCCAACCAGAAGCCGAAAAGTATCCCCTAGCGGTGGTAGCAAGAAGCAGTTTTAAGCATAAGGGTTAAATGTAGTAACTCTTCATGGCTGAAAATATGGTGCACATAATGTTTCGATTATGATCACGCAAAGAGATGTAAGAAGCGAATGTGACCGTCAAACTCTGTTTTGCTTGGACAGTGTGTGACCGCTCGGTTGGCAGATTCCCGGCCCTCGGCGTCTGGCATACGGATTATGTTGATCATTCTGCTAGTTGCGCTTTTCCACCATGATCTTGGATGACCGTGATTGAAACATCACGTGCACCATATTTTCAGTCACTGAGAGTTACTCTGACGCACTTATTAATTTCGTTTCTTGCAACCACCACCAGGGTATTATTTCCGGCTCCTGGTTGGCCACATTCAAATTTGTGAAGACGCCTAGCTCGCTTTTGGCCGATGGCACCTTCTAATTTGTCTCCTATACTTTCCAATGAATGGCCAAATTCTTTACATATATGGCTCTGAACTGCCCCTCTTCCCCATTTTATGCAATCTGTATGGTCCATAGCTTTCACTGTTACAAAAGCACATCTAATTCCTCTAAAGCACAAGTAGTGTGACCCAAACTGGGAACCATGGCTTTTGTCGTGACCCGAAAGTACAGTGGTCTGTTATCCTAACACCTTGACAACATAACCAGTAAGACCACTTTTGGCAATGGGCTGAGATTTGAAAGATAACTGTGGTGTCATTTTCCTAGGACCATTGACCCTGCACGCTGATCAAACTTAATTTTAAAATACGACTGGCATTGGCGCATCAAAATTCAGAGTTTATTGGATAAATCCAAATTCACCGGCGGGAGTTTTTCGGATTTATCTGAAAACACGGAAACCATATTTTTAATGCATATTAATATTAGATTATAGATTATATTTATCTCTTATCTCTCTGTAAATGTGCTTCCCTCTCCTCGTGACGCATCGGATAGCACTAGGGTGCCTACATGTTTCCGCTCCGCTAGCGAAGCGGCGGAAACATGTAGGCACCCTAGATGGCACGTTTGAATCATGTTACGCATGGCATAACCAGGTGCATATTTTGCTAATTTTGCTATTGATTGCACGAACAAACAAATGAGTGTATGACAACTTTCTAAATGTATTATTTTTGTCCCTGGAACATTCACCTAATAAATTAATAAATACATACTGTCAGACTTCTTTGCACTGCAACATATTTATATCCACCCAAGTAGCACAAAATGTGGCTACAACGTTACTGGAATGTTGTCAGGTAACGTTGCCGAACGCTGCTAACGACCGCGGATTCTACACTCCAGTAACGTTACACCACAATGTTACAGTAACGTAACTGCATACGTTACCTGGACATTACCCAAATAACGTTACTGGAACGTTGTTAGATAACGTTGCCAAACGTTGCTAATGGCCACCAGTTCTACCTTCCAGTAACGTCACATCAAAATGTTGCAGTAACATAGCTCTCTATGTTACCTGGATGCTAGATCAGTGATGTTACTAGGACGTCGTCGCTAACGTTGCTAGTTGTTGTTAATGGCCACGAATTCTACCATCCAGTAATGTTACACCAAAATGTTGCACTGACATTACGGCTTACTTAAAAGTGAAGGAATAAAAATGTGAAGAACATACACAAACGACCACTCTTTTATTTCGCAACAACGTTTATTTTTTGAGGAGCAAAGAGTCGCATACAGGTCGAGATCAACTTGATACCGAAGGTGGAGTGTTACTGACTCATCCCTTATCTCCCTAAAGTTCCTTTGATCAAGCCTTCCTTTTGCAGTTAATCTTGACCTGTGCGCGAGTCTTTGCTTCCAAAAAACGAGCGTCGTAACTAAATGAAAGAGCGGTCATCTGTTTTTCCTCAGTGCTTTTATTCTGTCAACTTTCAGTAAACGTTTTTACAATATGCTGGCACTGGCCAGATATTACTGCATGTGTTACTTGGACATTACTGAACAATGTTATCCGAAAATACATTGACAAGCGCTGCCAGGAAACTGCATTTATGGTTGTCATGAAGTCATTTTTTGAGCTGGTGCCTGATATGAGTAAATGGATGTGCATTACAGGCCATTAATGAATCAGCATTTTGAAATCCTAGAAGCAGGGCTCCGGAAGAAAACAAGAAGTTATTGGAATAAATTTATTTCAAAAACGAAACCAACATTACAAGTACCAGAGAATTCTTCTGTTTCTTACAAGCTATTAGATCTACAAAATTGTAAAGAACACACTAAATTACAAGGCTGATCTGCATAAAAATAAAAATGTAAAATATTAAAACTCCCAGTAACATAAAGCAAGTAGCCTAAAATAAAATTCTAAATATATCTCAAATTACACCCGATCTTGGGCTAGGACATATAAATAAATAACGGAGGCAATAAACCAAAAATGACTAGAAAAAGAACATAAATTTTAAATCTTCTAAAAATACCACACTAATGTGTACATAAATTAAATAAAAGAAACCACTAGCTGGGGCTAAAATGTATGCATGAATAGAAATTAAAGGTAACATATGCATATTACAAATTGACATAAAAAATTCAAACAACAGGGACTCTACTCATGGGATGGCTGTAAAAAAAGAGAAAGAAATCATTAGGAAAAAAAGCATTTTAAATGATTTAGAAAGCATGAATTTTTTTTTTTTTTTTTTCAATTCTCTGCATTTAGCATGGTTAACCAATTCCATGCTTCCAACTGGGATCAAAGTAACCAACTACTAACATTTAAAACTAACAGAAAAATCAAGGCAGAAACATGCTGAAAAACAGCGCAAAATGCACGGATAAGAAAACACACAGGAAAAGGCACTGTGTGTTCTTTTTCCTTTGTCTGGTTTTCGCACCGTTTTTCAACATGAATTCTTACCAACTAGCCCAGCCCAACTGTCCATCCTTGTAATCAGAAACACGCTTGCCTTCTCCCCTTGTGGCAGCCCCTCAGTCACTCCTGAGAAGAGGCACACTGCTCCTGCAAAAAAATAACACAAAAAAGTTGGTTGCATTCAGAAAATGGGTGCCTATTTCAGGGCAAAAAGTGTCATCAAGATAAAAAAAGAAATGCCTACATCTGTCCTAGCAGTTTCACCACAGTTTCTTTGCATGCACAAGCCATTCTTTTCATCCAGTTTAGACTTTTACCGCAAAGTGTGACCTACCCACAGAAGACAGTGGATACGCGACTTATTCTTTTCTGGCAAGGTAGGCAGCTGTTCTCGTCCACTCACTTTTTCCCACTTCAACCTTCTATTTATTCATGCGTGAAAGGCACTTTCTTAAGAGGGAAACAGCTATTTTCCGCAGCGCCTTTTTTATTTTGTATTTGTAGATTTAACTTTGTTTTCATTTTATCCTAAGAGAATAGCTTTCTTTTTAAGAACATAGATGTTCTTAAAAAAGACGTGCCTGCCCTCTTCGTCAATTTTTTGTAACCGACAGAACCGTGGACCTGTCGGATCTTTGACATGCAGTATATTACTGTATGTCGAATATCTGGCAGGTCCACGGTTCTGTCGATTATAATAAATTAACAAAGAGAGGAGACACGTCTTTTCTTTTCCCCGTATCATGGGCCACGGAGACAGATCACTGCCTCAAGGATGGCTTCATCTTGAAGCAGAATAGGTCTCTTCAAGGATGAAGATATATACCGTATACGCTTTTGAATGGATGTGCATTCATCACTGCACCTGATGATCACAGCTTTTAAAAGTGTCGTTAGTGTTACCGTGTCTTATTGGCCTCATTAACAGAAGTCATCATTTACTAAAAAAAAAAGAATAGAAGGTGACAAAAAAAGGTTCCTTCCTTTTATAAATATATAAGTTTATAAGTTACAATAAATATTAAAACACTGCTATCCTCCCGGCACTAAAAAGAAAAATATTTCTACTGCTCAAATAAGCTACGTTCAATGAAACAACTTCGATGAAATGGCGTTCAATGAAACAGCGTTCGATAAAACTGTGTTCAATGAAACAGCTTCGATGAAACAATGTTCAATGAAACGGCGTTTGATGAACTGTCCGGACCCAGGGGCAATGTCAATGAGCATCATATTTTCTACAATGTCAAGCTCATTGCAGACGATGTCATAACATGGTGTTCTTTCATTGGCTAAATAAATTTCTTAATACTTAAAAATGTCTTTATGTAAAGTGGACTAATGCCTTTGTTTGAAATCTGGGCTTGTTTTAGGATGCAAAAGTATTTTTCGGGAGTTTAAGCAAAATTAGAAATATCATATTACCATTTTCTTGGTCCTAGCTGGTGCATGCCTGACCGATTCAGCAGCAGCCCATTTGGCGTCGGCTTCCTGCACGATGATGGCTGGCTCATTGTTTTCTGCCTTCTGTTTAAAGCAGGTGCGCACAGCTCCTGTTTCAAAAGTATATAATTACAACACAACGTCAGCTACCACAGTGAAATATCGACAATTTCATGCCCTACTTCAGCATAACTTGGCAGACATCGGTAACTATGAAATCAGCCAGGGTGTCTAGCAAATTCCTCCTTCTAAGTTCCCCAGCTTTTCCAGGTTTTAAATTCCCTGTCCATTACAGAAGTTTGGAGATGTGGTACGAACTGCTACTAAACACCTCAGTGTCCACCGACTCCTCACTGCTCGTACCGCAACTTTCAAGTTCCTTGCGAACACTTTCGGCTACTCTATGTCTTTTTTGGCGATCGGATAGCTCTGATAGCGAACGCTTCGCCCGCTCCATTGTTCAGCACAAGTAGTAACAACAACGAAAATGAAACATACCTTTGTTTACGTTTCCTCCACGCCGAGAGATCGGCAGAGCGGTCCGATGAAACAGGCCTTGACGGTCCGTTGACATACGGTCACGTGGTCAACCTGGCTTCGACCTTGCTTGGCTTGAGCTACTTGCACTCTTGGCGTCTTGGCTTGTCAACAGTGTGCGTAAACGAGTAAACGACTAAACATGAAGTTTCAAGTAGGAATAAACTGTGGAAATCTGTCTGACAGTACTAAAATAAGTTTTTTTTAAGAGTTATAAAACATTACATCGATTGGAGAAATTGGAAATTGGTAGAAGCCGTACAGCCATAACCGTGATGCCGTACTAGTGTGCAATCATGGCGGACGATGGCGATCTTGCAACGCCTTGCAGTGATCAGTGGATGACCTCGACCGTAATATCGGTAACGATAGTGAACTGTTAACATCGAAACGGTAGTACCGTGGCTATGCGACTGTGCTGTGCCATTGTGATGTGTCCAGATAACAAATGTAGGCAAAGAGTGGTCCACGCAGAGCGAGCTTCGAAGCCTCAAGCTCAAATATGTTCTCGTGTCGACGGCTCTTTGGCGAGAAGTGAACGGGGGCTATCAATGGGTATGGATGTCGCTGGCCTGTAATAAGGCGGAGCCTCCGGGGCAATAACGGGGGCGCGCGTTAACCCACCCGCCGCGCTGCGCTTTACGCCGCTTCGCGGCGACAGTCTGAGGCGGCTCATTACAAAAAATGTGAACCCACATGTGTGTTTGTATTGGCCCACACGTAAACGCCGCTTCGCGGCGCCCAACTATTCGCTAAAGTATCATTTGGTGAACCGCCCCCTCAGGAGGCTCCGCCTTATTACAGGCCAGCGACATCAACACCCTATCAATGTGTGTGCGATTATACTCGTTTCATTATAATTAGGGTCCATATTAGATGAGCGAATGACGTTTTAGCGAACAGCGGCATTTGAGCGAATCGACGTTTTAGCGAATAACGGGGGCGCGCGTTAACCCATCCGCCGCGCGGCGAGTCTGCGGCGGCTCATTACAAAAATGTGAACCCACTTGGCCCACCCGAGAACGCCGCTTCGCAGCGTCCGAATTTTCGCTAAAGTGTCATTCGGTGAAACGTGGACATTCGCTAACACGTCACTTGATAAAGTGAGTGCCTCCCCCCTTGGGGCCCTTCATTTTGAGTGGTCGGCGGAGTGCGTCCTTGTATCCGTGGCCCTTGATGCTAGATCTCCTTCCTACCTGCCCCTCCCCCCCCCCCCCCCCCCCTCTCACTCACTTTTCTTTAATCTCACCCCATTCCCGTCCCATCTCTCCTATGTTGCCTTTTCTAACCTTTCACTCCTCATTTCCTCGCATGATTTAATGTTTGTGGCCCCCCCTTCCCCACCTTCATAGGATTATATGTTCGTTGCCTTTGACCTTTGATCTCGACTTCGGACCCTTGACTGCTCCTCCTCGCCATCTCCCCTTCTATCTCCTCGGTCTCCTTATTCCTCCCTCCCCTCTTCCTCTACTCTCTTGTCCACCTTCCTCTTCTTGCTACCCATCCTACTCATCTTTCCTCCCCTCTTCCCCCTTCTCTCTCGTTTGAGTGATTCTATGTTCATGGCCTTTGACCTTTTCTTTTTGGTGGCAGCTGCATATGGCTCTTCATTTTGAGTGGTCGGGGAGGTGTGATCTTGTGTCCATGCAACAGGGGTGGAACGGCTGCGCCATTTGCGCCATTTTGCGCCAGACGCATTTGTCTGCGCCATCCTGCGCCATGTTTCGGAAACTGCGCCACAGCCAATACCTCGCGCCATTATGCACCAAATTGGAAAACGTGCGCCAAAAAAATTGTATTTTGTCTTGGTTTCGGTTTCTATCGACTCGATTGGCAACAATGATCGCGTTTAGCTTGGTCGGCCTTGCAATCCTTTTTTTCTCTTTATTCTCCCTGTGTATCCCGAGTAGGAAGTGTGCGAAAAAAATTCGGGGTTCGGATTCCAAGCGCTACACCATCTGCCTCTGGATTGTTATTCTTCAACCATAAGCGGTTAAACAAGTCGGTCGAGGTGAGGTCGAGTCGTTAAGCGTCAGATTGCCTGAGGCTCCGCAGCCCGGGATCCGGACGCCAGTCAGTTGAAAACAAATGAGCAAAAGATTCCTTCTAGCACTTCATCGTTAGAAGTTGGAACCGCATTCCTGCAAGATAAATCGTGATTTGATAGATCTGAAACACAGTCCGATCAGAAACCTTGCCGGCCAGCAGCTCTCACGCGAGCGGTCGATCTGCTCGGCATTACCTTGCTCCTGCTTATCGCTTCGAATACGATAACTCCGTTAATCGTAGTCTGCTGCTTCGATATTGAGTTGCACAATAGGATAAACTCGAATTTTGTTGCGATATTGAGTTGCGCAATATGAGAAACTCGAAATTTGTTTCCCTGTTCTTCCGCGCAACTGCACGTCCGTTGCTTACGCACGTCACGTGGTTCGCACATAAAATCACTCTGTCGAGGACGTGTGGACTGTGCGATAAGCGGTGCTGGTTTGCATTTTGAGCAGCTGAAAGCCACTCGGAAAATATCAAGGCTCACAAAGTTCCAATTTTTCGCATCTGTTACACTGTTATCCCATCTGCCTAGGTCCCTAACCACTCATGTTTATCTGGGCTGCTAAGCACAACTGAAATTGCTCCCGTGCTTGTCTAAGACATAAGCTGGAGTGCAATGAAAACTGATTTGAGCTGCTCCTAGCCTGCTCCAGAGTGTAGTTTTAGCTGCTCCCAACCTGCTCCAAAACAGCTGTTTTAGCTGCTCCCGTGGCTGCTCCCAAGCACATTTCATGAGTTCCACCCCTGATGCAACCGAGGCCTATGACCTGCGATGTTTTACGTCTTACCTGGCCCCACCCCGTCCCATCTCCTCATTCCCCTCCACTCCTTCTCCCCCATTGGTCTCATATTCCCTCTGTGTGCTCTTCCTCCCCTCTTTCCTCTCTCCTCCCTCTGATCTTGCTCCTCCCTGCCCCACTTCTCTTCATCTTTCTCTTCATGCTCCCTCAGCCTCTCATCCTCATTCCCCTTTTCCTTTTGTCTCCTCTCTTCCTTGTGTGAGCATGTGTTTTTAGACTTCGAACTTCATACTTGACCTCTTTCTTCCTGCCTCTATTCTCCTTCCCATCTCATCGCTTACCTTCCCCCTCAACCGTCTCCCTTTTCCCCTCCTCTGTCTATGAGACAATGGCTACCGCCAGTCGTCTCACTTGCAGTGTGCTGCAATGAGCCGCCACTTTTTGAGTTTTCCGAATAGAGTGCTGAGCTGTAAATTGGACTGAAATATGAGCTTCTGCATGTAACTATTTCAAATTTTCAACCAGGGTGTATCTTATACTGCACGCTCCAAGATTTCTCTAAATCTCTATGGCAAGCACTGGCGCAGACAACCTAGACAGGGCGAGAGTAAGAACCACCCAGTCGCTCGATTTGACCCGAGTCCGTCGTGAAATTAGTCCTCGCTTCTATTTTAAATAGTAGAAATCATTTTGCAGCAAGCTCGGGTCGGATAGAGCAGTCGGTCGACCCCAAGAGCTCTCTGCGACCTGGCCGTAGGGTAATCATGTTCGTATTTTTCACAGAAACAGAGCTACGCTTCGAAAATAACGCAATAGAGCACACAACTAAAATACACTTTTGGTGAAATTTTAGCTAGCTACATGTTCCAAATTAATTTACAGGCTACGACTCTCATGCCATCCTATACATGTTCGGGAGGTCTTTGGGTCGTCGCGTCACCAGCGCGAGTTTTCCACCTTTGATAACACAATAACACCCCATGACTTCACCCTCTTGTTATCTTTAGCATGCGTTCCAAAAGCTGGACATTCGAATGACCTTAACCTAAAAGCTATGATGAGGGTGCATGCTAGCTCGTGAATATTGGAAGCAAGGAAATGCCATACACACAAATGAATTCAATTTTATCATAAACCTTTTGGACAGATATTTTTTTAATTTTCTGCAATCTTTCCAGGGTACATTTTGAACATTTGTTTCAAACACGCCCGTCACAAGCATTAGAGCGGTCTTTCTGTTTGTAAAAAAATAAAAATGTTTGAACAAGAGAATCAACATTGAACTATTATAAGTTTGGTATCTTCGTGTATCCTTGACCAGCCTCTGTGTGATGTGGTGATGTGTCACATTTCGTCACATTAGGCCAACATCTCTGCATAACATTGCCCGTATGTCAGGATGGAAATGTTACCAAGAGGTTATTTCTAAACGTTGCTCCAATGTTGCTTCTCTAACATTCCTGGAACGTTTGCCTATGTGATGTAACGTTACATGACGTTCAGTGACATTCAAACAATGTTACAGGAGAACGTTTCTGTTACGTTAGTTTTCAAACATTGCTATAACATACCCAAATGTGCCCCAACGTTACATTACATTTGTGACATTCCAGTTACGTTATGGCAACATATGGTGCTACTAGGGCATAGACACAAAAATAAATAAATTATGAATGTATGCATTGTTCATTGCAAAATTTGCCTCAATGCCACAGTTAACGGGGCAAACTACCGTGCATATAGATTGAAATAAAGGCTCACTTTGTTTCTTTTTGCTGTACTTGCTAAAACATTGCATCTTCCCTAATGTGACATACTTGACAACCACAACCATAGATGGTATGAGGTTTAAGAAGTATTGAATTACAGTCAATGGTTTGGTCTTCTGGGAATTCATTGATACAACAGGTTTGTGCCTATGACTGACTTGAGGGCTACAGATCAAAGAGTTTGATTCTAAGCCACCAAAAGTAAACATTTACCAATACGTTGCTGAGATTATTACTAGTTTCCTATTTATAAGGTGTTTTGAATGAGTAAAATGCAATACTAGAGGCCTGGCATAATATTGAAGCAGTAGTACTCATTCCCTACAATCACATAAAATGTCATATCATTCATGCTTGTAAAAAAGCAACATATGAAGGTGAATGCAAATATGTCGCAGGAAAAATTCTGACTTGCTTCTGTCCACTTCTTTGCACAGTGTAGAAAAAAAGAACAATAATTATTTTAGCTTGACTTAGCTATCGGAGAGCTACATGATTGATTGATTGTGGCTGGCAGCAGATATGTGCAAAACGTCAAATACAGTCAATGTCACCAGCATTGAGGCCAGAAGCAAGAATCCGGTATCTACATTTGCCCAGTTCTTACT